AGGAAAGGGGGGGAAAAGAGAGAAAGGAATAAAGAAAGAGAGGAAAGGAGTAAGAGAGAAAGGAAAAGAAAGGGAAGGGAGGAAGGGAGGAAGGGAGGGAGGGAGGGAGGAAGGGAGGAAGGAAGGAAGGAAGGAAGGAAGGAAGGAAGGAAGGAAGGAAGGAAGGAAGGAAGGAAGGAAGGAAGGAAGGAAGGAAAGAAAAAGAGAAAGGGGATGAAAAGGGGAGAAAGGGGAAGAAAGAGTGAAGGAGAAAGAAAGGAAAGAAAGAAAGAAAAAAGAAAGAAAAGAAAAAAGAGCTAGAAAGAAAAGACAGAAAAGAGAGAGAGAAGGAAGAAGGAAGAACGAGGTGAAAATCCAGAAGGTAGGTATTTGTATGAACATTCAGCCTTTTTTTTTTTTCTTTTCTTTTTTTCCCCCCCCAAACAGTATTTTTAGCTGGAAATTTTCCTGGATGTTTTGGTTCTCTTTCTAATCTCAGATGTAGTAACTTCTTTTAAATTTGAAAAAAAAAAAAAAGAAAAAAAAAAAAAGAAAAAAATGTTTTCAAGGGTCTAGTTGTCCGTATGATTTTTTCCACTAATCTGGAGGCAGGAGCCCCAAGCTTTCCCCTCCCAACTTGGGCTCTCGAAATCCCCAGCAGCGGTGGAGGACACTTCTCAGACCTCCGCCTCGGCAAGCTTTCAGGGAAGGAAAACCAGAATTCGTTCGTGGTCTGTCCCGGGGAGCCGGGGGGTCAGGACGGGGACAGCATCTGCTCCCAAGCTGCAGCCTGGAGGGGGAGCGGGCCCCCCCGCCTGCGGAGACGGGACCGAGCGGCGGCGTGGCGGAGGGGAGAGGGCTGCTGGCACCGGGGGTGCAGCTGGGCGTTAATACTCGGTTTATCTTCCAATGCCCATTTCGGCTTAGAAGGAATCCCACTTCTTCCCAAATGAAACCCTCGCCTCGTTGGAAGAGTCACGGCCGGTACTGGCACATTTCAGCCACTTTCGGACAGGGTTGGAAATACTTTAACTATTTAGTGTCAGTGATGGGGAAAACCTTAGTTAAACAACCCTAGCTGGCGGGGCAGCGTTACCTTTTCCTTCCTTCCTTCCTTCCTTTCGTCCGTCCGTCCATCTATCTGTCTATCTCTCGCTGTAAAAGCCCTGCTCGGACGCTGGGTCCAGGTTTGAGAGTTCCTGCGCCCGATGCGGGATTTAATGCCGTGAGGAGTGACGGGAGGAAGGTCGCAGGGAGAATTTCAAAAAGCCCCACCAAACCACACAAGCCCCCTCGATTTCGGGTTGCCTCTCCACCAAGCGCACAGAGCCGATCGAGAGGCAAGGTTAAGGGCAGGACGGTTCGGACGCCCAACGTTACGCCGGGTTTTAATTTTTACAAAGCCTTATGTAGCGGTGAGCTGCTGGCCCGAGATGATTATTTTTCAGCCACTCCACAACAAACCGGAGCAGGGGCCAGACATGTATTACTGGAGGGGGAGGGGAAGGGGACTTGTTTGCTCTGTGTGTGTGTGTGTGTGTGTGTGTGTGTGTGCTCCTCGTATGCTTTTTTTATTCCTGCCATGTAAGAATCCGGTTTCCAAATAACAATGGCAGGGTGGGTTTCGGGGTTGGTTTTTTTTCTTTTCGGTTTTGTTTTTGTTTCGTTTTCAAGAAGGGGAAGAGACAAGGAAAACTCCTAAAGCATCTGCTCTCGGATGCACATTCGCAGCACATGCAGAGCGACTCCTCTGCTCCCGCACAAGTGGTTTGAAAGCCCAAACAACCGGGGCGACCGTCCCCCCTTCCGTTTGCATTTTTATTTTATTTTATTTTTCCCCTCCCCGGGACGCGGGCGCCCCGCCAACGTGGCTTGTATCCGAGTCCCCCCTCGCTCCCTTTTATCGCTTTAATTTGCTTTAGCCGAAAAGTGGGAAGGGGCTGCAGGCTGGGGGGGTTCCTCCCTCCCTCCGCCACCACCTAAAAAAAATAAAAAAATAAAAGGAGGCAGCCCCCCC